GATTCAACATTCCGAGCAACTTGAAATTGAAAATCACGGGCGGAAAAGCAGTGAGCTCGTTCATGTCAGCGATTAGAGTCTTGAGCACTTTGAACTTGCATAACTCCTTAGGAAGTTCTTTAAGTCGTCTTGCGTTGATGTTAAGAAGTTCTGTCTCGTCAGGGTTGACCTCAAACCCGAGTAGGTCAAACAGGGGATCGTTCGGTTGTGCCATGGTGTGACTATTGATGTGTTATGTTAGATCAATATATTATCAGTTTGAAATGGCCGCATGGCGAGTCGTTTTCCCGATTGCGACGATCGATGTACATGTAGATGTTTGTTTCGTATTCCCAGTAAAACGCCAGACCAATTTTGTACAGTAGGTACAAGCGAAAGACTGTAAAGGTTTGATCCATTCACACCTGGCACGAATGGATTCTTACTCCTTTCGATACCCCTCAACCGCGGGGCGTTAGGTCACAGGGCTCAAAGTTGTCAGCCAACGCCCTAAAGAACCAACACAGCAGACAAACATGATGACTCAGGCTGGCACTGACTGCAGAGCTAAGGCCACACCGACTTAATTTTATGGATGACATCCGCGCGCGCATTGATTTTCGCCTGTCGCCCTAAGAAAAAAAAAAGATCACCTCCACCGAGGCTCTGGTCTGGCTCTAGGCCTGGGTAGTCCATGGTAGTCAGCGACAAAACGGAGCCGAGCACCCAGGCTATCGAATTCGAAGCTCCACGACTCAAGAACTGACAGTACATAAGTACAGTACCGATTCATAAATGCCGCAAAAAGCCTGCATGTGCCGGTTTGTCGTAAAGGTTGCTATGTACTGTCGCGAATTAACACAGCCGGAAAGCCACGTACTGAATCGAACGCTTTTCGAACGAGTTTTCTTTGCAGAGCGTATCACTCCGCCGTCCATAGCAACGCCGTTGCTAAGGACGACGTTTTCGCGGGCGGCGGGCTGAAATTTCATCCGAGTTGTTGACAGCCGATTACATCACCAGTTTCGGCCTCTGCATCAAGATGGCGGTACGTATCAGATGTGTATATCATGTGCTCTCTGTACTAACCATATTTGAGGGGTATTCTATGAGTTTTAGTGTAGTTTTGTGATCAAACTCGGTGTACAGTGAAATGAACAAAATGGCCGCCCTGGACTGATCTGAATTTTCGTCTCATTTGAATTTCGGGGGAAACCC